GACATATACGGTAGATGATAACCACGTTTCACGTCTACGTATTTTATTGATCATTCTGAAACAAGTTTTCTCATAAAACTCAGTTTGTTTTTAAAAATAATGTATACACAGATACAGACACACACACACACAGGTACTCTCAGATAACCTTAGAAACAAATGTGTGTCACTGTCGTGAAATAGATTTAGTATAGTATTCCCATAGTTATAATATCAAAAAACACTATTATAAAGTAGTACCTTCCCTACCCTGAATACAACTTTAGTTGCTATGACTACCAAGGTGTTTCCATGTTAGACATACATGCATATTTCTTATGTTTTTTCATCTGTTTTTTATTGGGTATAAGTTTTCCAATTTAGTGATGTGTATCACTCAATAGCAGTTATTACCTTTAGTTGCTAGGTTAGTTTAACAAAGGCATAATAATGTAAATCTATCTTGTACAAATTAGTCTTTAAGTTTTTTTTTGGTTTCATGATGGATGCGCGGGGTGGTGGTGGCGTAAATATTATTGATCAACAAGTACATCGTCATTAAAATCAATTAATACTTCACTATGCAGTAATGTGTACTGCCACCTCCTCCCTCTCTCTTAAGCAAACAAATGTAGACGCACATAAGTTCATCCATCTCCCCCCTATTATTTTCTGTTTATTAGCCCGTTTTCAAAACCTTTTGTTAATTAATCGTTATTACTTTTTCTTTGTTTTTGTATCATGAAACCCAAATGAAGGTAATTTTTCAATTTACTATCAGGTTAGCATAGTGATTAGACGGGTGAATATTCTAAATGCAACAAAATAGGATAAGTAATCACTGAGATGGAATCCCATTAGAGTGATTGGCACTTTGTCAGTGCACTTAACTTTAGATTAAATGTGAAAATCTTTAATCATTTAATCACCATGGTATTAATTATTCTGTCCTATTAGCATAGAGTAAAGAGAAAACCAGTGTAAAGTCAGTTTTGGAAGACGATCTTTACTATCACAAAGGGAGTTCATGTCGGAACTCACTTGGTGGTTAGTAGTGGAAGCCAGGACATGCGCTTCGTCCTGTTTGGGACTCGTTAGCTGAAAGTACCTGTACCCATTGGGACTCGAACCTTGAACCTATCTTTTCAAACACTAAGATTTTACCGTCTAGGTCACTGAGGAACGAGGAACACCTATTGTACAACGAGAATCCGTTATTATCATTTATTGATACTTGTACTTATGTGGGAGCCTTGATACCACTTGAATATTCAGTATTTTGTCGTTTACTTATTGGTGGAGGACATGGTGCACGTTTCGTCCTATTTCAGACTTATCAGCTTATTCGTTTCTCTCTTGATCTTGAGTATTTGTTCTAGAAGTGGATATACTTTCATTCAAATAACCTTCAACTTCTTATTTCAAAATGTATTGATTTTCTGGCTTTAAATGCCTGCAAACTTCTTATAACTTATATCATCAATGACTACTTTTCATAGCCATAAACTAGAACATCGTCAACTGCTGTTTATTACGTACACTAATCTCTTCTGTTTGTGAGAAGATATTTAACTTGTGACATAATGATGGATATATCGTTTCGATTAACTGAACTATTTGAGATAGCCTTAGCTAGTACACAGATGGTGGTCAAAGTTAACGGAGATCCTGGATTGTTACAGCCTTTAAAATAGCTGTGTTCAGGTTATCTTCTATTAATTCACTCTGTGTAGTGGTCTGAAAGACTCACCTTTTCATTGTATCTCGATTTTGCTTCAAATGATATATATATATATATATATATATATATATATATATATATCACTAAACTCTCGTATAAGTGAGTGATATACACCTACTGGATTGACATTTGTGACCAATGCTATATTCTCTAGTTTATAAAGTACTAACACTGTTATTAGTAAGATAAAAGACTTGGTGTATACTTCTAAAAGCATACGGATGACTGTTACTTCCTGTTTCACAAGGTGTGGAGGTTGTTTCTGTAAGGTACCTAAAAGAGAAAACAGAAATTTTTTGTGTAAATGGATAGCCTAACGCACGTCTACTTGATGCCTGTCACAAATGACTGTTTTTAGAAGTCTGTGAGTAATGTTTGCTTGGCGGGAAAAATCACACATCTGACACTAGCAGACCACAGGGTAGGTGGGATTATGCTACTTTTGGGGGCCTACCTTTCCTATGACTCCTTTCTGATAGAGAAGACATCTTTTCCCTACCTTTATGGATGAGGATCATAGATCAATCAACTGATCCATAAGCACTCGACCTTTATTCCTCATATATGGTGGAATTATTGTGTGAGTAATCGCCAGGTTGGAAGAAGGGTACTAGGAAATGAGTATAAGTTATTCAATCAGATTGTGGATGTTCATCGATTGGGATAGCTTGAACATATGTTGGGCACGTTGACACACTGCCTACCCTGATGTGGAATGTTAGCTGCTCAAGTTGGATTCATCTTCAAGAAAGTTAAGGCGGTTACATCTGGCCTGAGCCGTATTAGGAGGATACATCTAACGGTGTAATCCCTCATAAAGTAGTTAAATGCTTATGGAGCCGTATTACTGAAGGATACTGAATGGTAGATTTCATTCCCTAGATTACCGTAAGCTAACAAAACTGAACTAAAAGGGAGGCATTATTTCCTCTTTTAGAAGTAGCACGTTCCAACGTTTGACAAACTTGGAAATATGGTTGAACTGATCAGTCTCCGTTAGTAGATGAGAGCTCCTTTTGCATATATCTCGACAGTATCCATTTCCAGATCTCAGTTTCAATGGTTATTAATTATTGTTTTCACTATCTGAGAAAGCTGTAGGTTGGAAGATTTGTATTGATACTGTGTGTTGATTGAAGGCATAGTGAAAATCAAATAAACAGTCATGTCTCTTAGCTCAGTTAGTAGAGCACCAGGCTGAAAACCTTAGGGTTGGTAGTCCAAATGGCGCTGCGGCTCGAATTTCCATTTCACCTTCAGTCATCTCTCAGTATCAATACAGGTCTGTCAAGCCACGGCTTCCTCAGATAGTTAAAAGGATAATCAAAAGGTTCACCGTTCCTGAGGAGACTTGAATAGGCCTCACAGAATGTTGAATTGACAAAGTCTATGTCAGACAACTAGATCTTCTTTGAAGATCATCATCAACTCAATATCAAGGCCATCTGCCTAATCAGTACTCTATAGGCTTGTTCATTGACCAACTCCTGTTACAGCAGTGTTGGTCTCGATGAATGAAAGTGGCACTTGGGTACATCATCTCTTTTTTTGTACTTAAAGAACACCTGGAAAAATGAAACTGCTACAGAAAAGTACATATCTCGTTTTAGTGATATGTACTAAATTCGCAACCTTTAACTGTATGTGTACTTTCTGTTTTTCTTCTCGGTTTCGTTTGCGCGGGAAAATGGCCTTTACCCTGAGAAAAAGAGAACTATTTTTAAGGTTAAGGTCACTTGACGCGAAGATACAGTTAGTGTTTATTTATTATTGAATATTTACCTACTCTGTTCTCTTTGTTGTCGATTTGTCCAATTCTCGTTCAGTGGACTTTTTGTTGTACGTGTGTGCTCGTGTATATACTTCATTATGAGATATGTCTGTGTTCATACATATGTATGTTTGTATGTCGTGTGTGTCTGTTTACTTATGTTTCTTATCTAGAGTAAGATGGTAGCGACCATATGCCACAAAATAATGTTCAACACTCCCATACGCCTGTGATTAAGTGGTCATATGGATTTTAAATCTACCAATAGAATGACAACGAAATGTTGGTTGTTATTTGTCTATCAATCAGCCTAGATTTAGGTCTTTATTGGTGTATGTGTCCATTTTATGTGTGTCAATAATTAGTGAATACTGACGTAAAGGTTATTTTATTGCAAACATATACTGTTCAAGGTCAAAGGCCGCATGTACACAAACATACATTTATATGTACTGAAACAGAAATTGACAAAAGGCTTGGCTAACATGATGACTCAGCTTACATTGATTACTGTTGTAGCTATTCCAAAAGATGATTCATCAGAATTGTTTCCCTCATAACTTCTGACATTTCCAGATAATATTGCAGTTAGGTAATCTGAATATGACTAATCGCGAGAAGCACAAGTTCACTGTTGCACAACATCGAACTTAAACGTAACTACTGACTGTGTAACTGCTGCTGTTCAAAGTAAAGGTGACTAAAGATGCCTGAGTAGACAGACCTTCAGGATTCACATACGTTTTCACTTCTTCACCATATTGACAATTCACCCGACCCAAACCAATAAATAGTAAATTTGGCAAGATCCAGAGAATTCCGAGATAGAAAGCATTCTGTCCTGTCCACAACTGTCACGTTATGCTTAATTAATTGAGAGAGACAAGAATATAAAGCAAATTAGGTTGGCAGTTTTATTGCAGGAGGTAGAAATCGAGGGCCTGTAGAAACAATCACGTACTAACTCCTCATAGGTGTCGATCAAGTTTATGAGTCTACTACTGACAATATTGGCACAGATCAAGAAATAAACAATCCTACAGTGGTAGTTGGATGGAGGTAATCAGCAGGAAAGCCCTGGACCTAGGTTCCGTGCTTGCTGGCACACGTCGGCAAAGGGTTTCTGCAACCCCAATGGATCTGATGTCCCACCTGGGACTTGAACCGTAGCAACCTATTGTTACGTTACCGCGGAGCTATTCGGGCCGCGGAGAAGCTGGGGTATCATCTTCAATTCAAACGCTAGTTGGAAAGTACAACTGTCAATAAATATATGACTTTCAAGGTCACCCTGGCAAAAACTGAAATAACCAATCAGACTACTTTATTTTATGAAAGTCTACCTTTCTATTCGAAATGCAGAAAATTAATTGGTTAGGGTTAGGGTTGTGGCCTTTTAAAGTCTCCCCATTTCTACATGGAAAATTTTTGTTCAAAATGTTAAACATTTAAAATCAATGTGATGAATTAAAAAAGTCTATTTATAAACGTCTATTTTTAATTGAACAGGTGGACCAATCCACAGAAAGTGTTTAGAACATTGGGATTCATGTTGTGATTTTTACTGTCAATTATTGAACAATGCCACTAGTTCAATTCAATCATCACAGTCTGGATCATTATCTTCACCTACAGGGACAACACTATCGTCATCATCAGTTGCTTCTAATTTCAACATAGGGTGTTATGATTCAGCAGTTGGTAAATCGTTTATGGAAGGTTTGTTTCGGCTTTATGAATGTCCACTATGCGGTCAGTATACTCTGTATAGATCGTCAATTGACTCAACAACTGGTAAGTAACAAGTTATACTTAGATTTTTATCGTTTTACTGGTTACCAGAAATTTATTTTCTATATTGATCAAGGTCGGCACTGAAAAAGTAGCGCTTCAACTCAAATTAATAACTAGTTAGTCCGTGATTCACAATGGAAAGCTCAGTGACGCCTTTGAAGTGAAGACAGGAGACATGAGTGAGACAAGGTTGCCGCCTACTATCACCGATCATCTTCTTGATTGTGGTCCACTCATCTGGATCATGCAGCAAACCATGAGGAGCGAGAAAACGATCATACTCTGGACAGGTGAAAAACCCTAGAAGATTTGAATTTCGCCAATGATGATTTATGTCCAATGTCAAGTTGCACAAACTCGAAGATCAACAGGCGAAAAATAATAAGTTGACAGAAGAGGCAGCAAAAACGGGACTTCAGGTGAATGTAGAGAAGATGGAGGTGATGAAGATACCCAACCGACAAAAACATGCACCTATAACTACTAACTGAAGAAATCTAAAGGAGGTTGTCTCTTTCACTTACCTAGGCAGCATCATTTCAACTACAGGCGGCACAGATGAGGATGTCAAAGCCAGGATCGGAAAAGCAAGACAAGCGTTCATGAATCTGAAACCAGTGTGGAGATCTACTGCACTCAGCACAAGGAACAAGATCCTGATTTTCAACACCAACGTCAAGTCAGTGCTTCTATATGGTTCAGAAATTTGGCGTGTCACGAAAAGCATTTACAACAGCTGCCTACACTCGATGCTGAAGATAAGATGACCAGAAGGAATAAGCAACAAGGAACTCTGGCTGGTAATGAACCAACCAAGAGCGTATCGCCTAACAGATGTGCAAAAGAAAGTGGAGATGGATTGGATTGGACATAAACTGAGAAAGCCATTCGGAGACATCACGCTCCAGACCTTCGAGTGGAATCCAAAGGGGAAACGAAAAATTGGGCGTTTGAGGCGAGGGTGACATAGAGATCATGTGAGGAACAAATGAAAGCTTTTGGGCAGTCGTTGAGCGGGGTTCAGAAGACTGAAATGAAGAGAGTGCAATGGAGGCGTGCTACTGAAGCCCTATATTCCACTAGGGACTCAAGCGACAAATAATAATAATCATAACAGTTAGTCTCTGGAATTTATTGATTTTGTGACAGTATTCATAGTGATGAAACATCATTTAGTGAAATATTATTTTAGACATTTCATCAGCAGTACGTCAACTCAGATGAACGTTTGCGTAAAACTATCTCATTTAAAGGTGGACCATTAGGCTGTTACCTAGTGGTTCAACTTTATGGTCAGTTGTTCTACAACAGGTGTATACTGTCTAGACTCTTAAAACATCACCAATGGATAGTATTCAGAAATGAATCACAATATAAGAACACTCGCTCGTAGACATAATTAGGTGGTAAAAATCTGTCGACTACTGCTTGATTTTGAGTTGTCTAGTCATTCAGGACTTCTGAAAGCGTCTACACTCTTCTATCCTATGATTACTGATCGTCGATAACTTCATAGACGGTCAAATTCTTCTACATAACTGATGATAGAGACGATAATAAACACATAAATTTTCATACAATTGAAAACGATTCTACAACATTTCGTCTTCACATAAAACAGACTAATCTATTTCACATTGTGTTTCGTGGCATTTTTATTATACATCCCTCTTGAATAAAAAAATTAGCCTAAATTCCTACGGAAAAAAAAGAGCTTAACTGTGGTATAAGTATGTGTTAAGTGACTTTAAACATCAGCCACTCCAACAGCTATCGAGATAACCAATTACGTTCATGTATTCTGTAAAAAATTACCTTCAAGGCCAAAATTCTGAAATGTGATTGGTTCATTTAGGACTTGCTAGGGTGGCGTTTAAAGTTGCGCACTACACCTAGTCATGTGATCTCTGTTCACTTCTCAATGTTTTTCATCGACCCGATGAATCAACAAGACATCGTTCTTTCTATACGACAAAGACTTCAATGTTATCCACATCAATTCGAGGGGATTGATTAACAATGCTTCACACGTGCTTATTCACTTATTTATTAATTAGCTAATTATTATTTTTTCTTCTCGAATAAAACGACTTATTCTCATTCATGGACATTGATGTCATGAAATAAGATCATTGAATAAGTTGCTTTATATCCTGTAGACGTTTGTTTGTTGTGTGTAACGCGATTTATATATATGAATGTACGTATGTATGTATGTATGTTTGAATAAACAAATAAATAATGTCTTCTATCTAGGGTTATGAATTATTTTTTAAAAAGGAAGTGATGAGATGATTTGTAAGTTTTGTCAGATTATCCATGTCATCACTTTCAACTACAGGCGGCACAGATGAGAATGTCGGAGCCAGCCAGGACCGGAAAAGCGAGATAAGCCTTCCTTTATTAACCTGAAACCAGTGTGGAGATCTACTATACTCAGCATGAAGCGTGAACAACATCCGGATTTTCAACACCAATCCAGTCAAGTAAGTCAGTGCTTCAGTGTGATGGTTGAGAAACTTGGCGCGTTACGAACAACATTTCCAACAAACTACAGACATTCATCAACAACTGCCTACACTGGCTCGTTACTGAAGATCAGATGGGATGGCCAGAAAGAATGAGCAACAAGGAACTCTGGCTGGCTGTCAACGAACCAACCAAGAACCTATCACTCAAGAAATATGTAGGATGAAGTGGAGGTGGATTGGGCATGCACTGAGAGGACCATTCGGGGAAACCACGCGTCAGGCCAGGTACTCGAGTGGAACCTAGATGGGAAACGATGGGTTGGGCGTCGGAGGCGAGGGTGGCAGTGTGTGTTGGTGTGTGTGTACAGTTTAATTGACTCCATCAACTTTCTGTCTTTATACATTTTGTGATCTATTAATCTATATTTTGTCGTGAACTAGTTCAATACATGAACTCAAGGGAATTACTATTAGTGATCAATTAAGTCATTATTATTATTATTATTACTTATTATAATGATGAATACTTTATACGAATTGTTGATTGTTGATCATATGATCTATTTATGTATAGGCATAGATTTATATTTTTACTTGGATCAATAAAATCGAATGAGAAATCGATATCATCTTATGTGTTCACACGAGAGCTATTCATAAATGATTACAAAACAATACAAACTATGTGAATATTTGCACAAACAGATAAATATATTGGGGTGGTGTCCAACATGGACTAACATCAATTATGGAACCATTGGAAGTCTGGGAGTACTGGACGACTGTTTCGTCCTAATATGCAAGACCTTGGTAGTACTCACCCAGCTAGGGATCGAACTCAGGACCTGCGGGTTTCACGGTGAACGCGTTAATCATTCAGCTACTGGTCGGCTTAAAATGGTTTACACTTTCCAACATCTTCCAATTTACGATATAGCTCGACAGTCACCCATCATAATTACTACCTCTAAATTCAAAATCCTCATTCATCTTATTCGATTTTATTGATCCAAGTAAAAATATAAATCCATGCCTATACATAAATAGATCATATGATCAACAATCAACAATTCGTATAAAGTATTCATAATGATAATAAATAATAATAATAATAATAATAATGACTTAATTAATCACTAATAGTAATCCCTTTGAGTTCATGTATTGAACTAGTTCACGACAAAGCATGGATTAATAGATCACAAAATGTATAAAGACAGAAAGTTGATGGAGTCAATTAAACTTGTGTGTGTATGCGTGAAATTCTCTATGAATCTGGGGCACAATGATCCAACATTTATGAAAATTGATCTAGATTTTACTGTATACTAACTGAGCTGAAGAGAAGATATCATGAAATTGTGTATGCAGGCCATTGAACTGTATTAATATAAGTGAAAAACTTGGGCACTGTGGTAGAATGTAATTCCATATTAGATTTGTTTATTTGATATATAGGGCACAGTGATACAGTATTATTTAATTGATTACGTTTCGAGCATAAATTAGCACTGCTCATAATCATATCAATGTAATCACACTTCTTTCGATATCTGATTTTATAGTCCTGTCACCTGATCTCTCTTTGTTTTTTGATTGGTAGTAAAGTTTTCCATATCTCTGGTATAGGTGTTGCGTCATTCCTATTACATGTGTTAGGTGTGGATTCGATGAACAAAGATTCAGTAATTAATCTCTCTCTCCACCTAGCTATATTAGACTTAAGTACAGTGGGTTTTGTCCCACCCTATTGTGTGGTTGTGTGTTAATGAATGTAATGCAATGGCCGAGTGTTTTTCTAGGTTATTGATCTTATTGGGGTCTGCCGTTCTATGTTTAGCTAAATTCCTATGTTCTGTTAATCTAACTGACCCCGACCGGCTAGTTTGACCTATGTATTTGACTTCACAGTCATTACATGGAATTTGGTAGATTATATTATTTTGCTTAATTGGTTCTATCGGATCTTTTAGCCGACAAAGCTTACCTCTAAGTGAGTTTGTTGGTTTAAATGCCACCCTAATTCCAACCTTGTTGAGAATCCTACGTATGGTTTCTGATGTTCCTTCCTTGTATGGTATCACAATAGAGGTGTTGATTTCCTTTCTACTTATGTTGTCACTATTATTTGTATTTGTATTAGTGTTATTATTTTGCTTCTTATGCGTCCGTGTGAATTTCTTAATAAAATGATGGGGATAATTATTAATTATTAACGCTTCTTTTATGTGTTTCAATTCCTTTTTTAAGTCCTTACAATGACTAGTGAGTTTCTCAGCTCTGTTATTTAGACATTTGACTAAACCCGCTTTAACTGACACTGGATGAGATGACTTGACTGTATGAAATTTATGAATATGACGATTGAAACAGTTAGTGGTATAGAAGTGGATATCATCATGAGGGGAGAAATAGGAGTAGTTGAATAGTCGACAGCATAGTAACCAGTTTGAGATCACTCCATTGATGGTTTGGAAGATAGTGATCAACAGGTTCACACTATTTTACACATTTCGACTAACATGAAGTCTTGCATAGATTAAAGACATATTGTTTAGTTTAACTGTCTTGAAGCCTTTTCTACCATACCCGTATTATAGTTTATTAGGTATAGTATAGGTTTAAACAGGTAGTAGGTTGACTGTGGTGTAGGATGTACTCTGATTAGCTGGAGTAATGAAGAATAAGATAACCGTAGTAGGAAACGATAATACTGAGGGTCGGAAGGAATGCTGATTATTAACATCTCTTGTACAGCAGTCATCAAATATGATAAACTTTGCACTGAGACAATCATTTGCATAATATACTTCCTTTCCTTCTCTGTGTCACATTGTCTCTTGCGTTTCCCTTAGCAGGATATTTACCCATTTTTGGTAATTGCCTATGATTTCTGTCACCCTCTCAATATATACTACTTATATGCATTGTGATCAGCAACGCCCACTACACAATCAGCGCATGAATCTAATTGTAACTAATTCACTTCATTAATGGAAGGATGATGAATAAGTTCCTCCACGGAACTGTGTATCTCTAATATGTTGTAGTGCTCATATGGTGATATGCTTCAATGTCGATTTGTCGAAGTACTTTTGAGGAGAAGTGAGGTGTTGTGTCAACGATTTGTAAATGAAGTGAAGGTCGAGTGAATAGTTTTGTTGATAATTGAGGTATATTCCGTGCGTATTGAGGGAAGTGGTAAACTTTGGATCATTGAAGTGTGACCCAGTGGCTGAATGGGTAACGCTTTCGCCACGAGGTTGAGGTCATCAGTTCCGTCCCTGACAGGTTCTTTATTAAGGCGAAGACAGAAGTGATTATTTGTTTGTATGGTAACTGTCGTTTGGGAGATATAAATGACTCTTGTGGTTATGAGGAACATCGTTTCAGCCACTTTATGGTAAATCATATGTTAAGATAGATTCCACTCGGATTGGCACCTGTTAGAGTGCCCTTGGAAATCTTTGAGCACTCTGAATAGATGTTTCCTCCCAGCATACGTCTTCTCAGCAGTGTGCACCCACAACCCGCAATGCATAAAACCTAAGACTTTCAAGTCGTATGACAAACTCCATAATATTCATCGGTTGAGTTGAAATCCAATTCTTCAAATTTTTCAGTGGTTCTTCAACAGATTACAGTTCATCATGAAAACGTTTTTCAAATACTCCATTACCCACAAAAGCTGGTAAACGTATTACATTCCACTGCATATTAGTGATACGCTTTGAGATGGACCTCATCAAAATCGATCCCAACTGGTGCATATATATGTGCATAAGTATACGTAATTGTCAGGTCCTTAGTACCAGCAGTGAAATGATTTTGTCGATGAAGTTTTTAGCGTGACTTTGGCTTATAATGAGCACTAAGAAACTGTTAAGTACGTGAGAAAAACTCTGGAAACCGATTTGTATACGTAATCTAGGCCTTCTTGAGGCGACTGATGGTCTGGATAGCTTGGTATTCAAGTATGAATGATGTAGAATCGAGTAGGTGACACTACAGACGTTTACCTCATTGGTGTTGATGAGCACAAACAAGCTAGAAACCCAGGCGTGTTGGGAACACCAATCAGTGTATAAATATTGTCATTTCAACCAAGATTATCTCTGATTCTTCGATAGTTATGAGTTTTCAACTAGGGAATTATTGAAAAACAGACAGCTGTATTGTTGTATCTTTATTTTTCAAGAAAAAAATAGTTTGATGAAGAAAAATTCCTTCTCTAGGGTATCATTTTCTATAGGTGTACAATGGCATTTATATATGTATACCACAAAGGTATGACAGTTTATTCTTAGACAATAGGGTATACTTGCATCATCAAGATAGTGCTAAAAACTCAAGACTGGAAATTAGTTGCGTAATAATCTTTTAGAGAATGGAAATAATGAGATAGGTAAGGAGTTTGACAAGGTGAAAATTGTTAGGAAGATAAGAAATGTGAAGATTGAGAATCCACTTGATAGATATAAAGAAGGTGGGAGAAGAAACGGGGGTCATATTGAGGGTGATAAACATAAACTAACTAATTATAATGGAACCGAAAAATTGTGATAGTCTTAAGACCATGATAAGATAAAGGAGTTGAACATACTTTTTCTGCACACCGATATCAGGCTTGAATTAGTGAATCGCCATTACTTTGGCTGTGGATAACCATCCGAAGCGTGCTCCTTTTTAACTATTCTCTTTGACTCTATAAATGACAGTGAAGGAGGACTGTGGTGGAGCTATATGTCCAGAATTGAACAACTGTTCATGAACTGAACTGTTAACTGTTCTCCCATTCAACAACCATACAGGATAGTGCTCAGAGATGCTTTTGGAAAGTGATTGCTTTGTGTGGTGAATATAACTAGTTGTACAGGAGAGAGTAAAATTTGTAGACACATATTGAGGTAGCTCTAAGCAGCAACTTGTGCTTAACACAGCCCTGAACCGATTACTGATTAGAAAAGCTGATCTATCACTTATGAGAGAAGAATGTCTTCTTCAGTGGTTTGCACAGCTGATTCTTCAGGATCTCATTTCTAGTTGTAAGTACTTGCTCCATATTCTGTTTTAATTTCATTTTTTCAATGACTGTATCACTGATATCAGTTTATGAGTAGATTTCTCCTACACCATCGAATGGAAATCTGGTATGCATGAAATAATACTGAATGTTAACAGATATTAATCATTTTGTTCCTTGGATGGTATTTTCTTTTCTACTTCAAGCTCAAGCAGAAAGTTCATTGTCTGATCACTTTACAAGTGTTCTATGCGCTATTCAATATGCAACAGAGAAATTGAATCAACATGAAAGTTTAATTCATCCTGCACTTCATTCAGATGTTCTACAATTCAATTCTCAATTCTCTTTAAATTCGCCTGTAGACTATAATAGTGGATCAGTGGAAGTATCACCGAATTTCACCACAGGAGACTTGAAATTTCAACAAATGTCTACAATTGGTCAACATGCAACTGGGAGATCGCATTCATATGTTCAATCCCCGCCGATTACTAATCAGTTTGTCAATATTTTAAGGTAAATATATATATATGTATATATATTGTTTAGAAGACTTATAGTCAGCTACTGATGAGAAGGACAGAAATAGACAAACCATATCTATCTAACACCATTCACAATGTGTATAATGTGGGCAGTTAACAACACCAGCCAAACCACACAGGGGAGATATAAACCCCTGATAATTTCCTTCGGCTGGCAAGCTCATCAACCTTGTTATATGTAGTCTGTCGATAAGATCTCTGCTTTGCGCCACCATAAGCTTGAACTTATAATAATAATTACTATTATTCGCCCCTTGGGTTCCTAGTAGAACATACGGGTTCAGTAGCACGTTGCCAATTCACTCTCTTCTATCCAGTCTACTCAACCTGGCTCCACCACTGCCCATAAGCTTTCATTTCTTCCTCACACCATCTCCTCCATATCACCCTCACCTCGGATCCCCAACTGATCGTTGCCCATTTGGGTTCCACTCGACGGCCTGGCCTGACACGTTATGTTCCTATACCGTGTTCTCAGTGTATGTCCAATCCAATCCATCTCCACTTTCTTCCTCTGCATATTTGTTGGGCGATGGGTTGTCGGTTGGTTGGTTGGTTGATTCGTTTCCAGCCAGCCAGCCAGCCAGCCAGCCAGCCAGCCAGCCAGCCAGCCAGCCAGCCAGCCAGCCAGCCAGCCAGCCAGCCAGCCAGCCAGCCAGCCAGCCAGCCAGCCAGCCAGCCAGCCAGCCAGCCAGCCAGCCAGCCAGCCAGCCAGCCAGCAACGCGCCAAGTCTCTCAACCATCACACTGAAACACTGACTAACTTGACTGAATTGAATTAGTGTTGAGAATCCGGATGTTGTTCACGCTTTATGCTGAGTGCAGTGCAGTGCAGTGTAGTAGATCTCCACACTGATTAGTTCAGATTGATGAAGGAAGGCGTGTCTTGGTGTTTTTCTTATCCTGGAAGGCTGTGATATCATCATCTGTGACTGTAAAGTCGACTGTAGTAGACACGATGATGCCTACCTAGGTATGTGGGAAGGTAGGTAGGTGGGTAGATAGGTAGGTAGATGAAAGAGACAACTTCATGTAGATTTCTCCTGTTGGCGATAGTGATTGGTGCTTGTTGTTGTTGTCGTCGTTGGTTGGGTATTTTCATCACCTCTCTCTTCTCTACGCTCATCCATCTGGAGGAAGTCGCATCTTCCTTCACTGCAACGCCACGCCTCACATCACATCGCATCACCTCTTCTGCCAACTTGTTAGTTTTCGCCTATAGATGCTCGAATTTGTGCGACAAGACATTAGACATGAATCGTGATGATGAGGAAATGCAAATCTTCTTGTGGTGGTCTGGTGGTCGTCGGTCCAGCCACCAGATGCCCATCTTCTCCATTTCCAGTTTCATTGTGGTTCTAGATAATCTTATCACTTGACTTGAATTAATCGAGATACATAGTTGATAAATACAGTTTTTGAGAGATAAGAATGACATTAGACACTCAGATCACCGCATTCTGACTAGTAGGACTTTATTGATTTCTTTGATTGTCTTCGAGCTAATTATATGAAGTAGTAGTATATGTTGATAACAACCAGTGCAATTGGTTTTCCATTTTCATTTGGCTATGGATTTCTCATTGTATATGATATTTTATTTTTAACAGAACAGAGTTCAACTGCTCTGTGCTTTCAGTGGTACCATTAAGTGTTTCTTCCATGCCTGAGTGTTCTACTCAGTGCAGTTGATTTATCAATCATTTCATGATTCCACTTATAAGCAGAATGTTAAGCGAGTACCTGGAACAACTAGTCCATGTGACGAATTGTTTCTTCAGTTTTAAAAAAAGTGCAAGAAGTCCTGCACTATAAGCTGACGATCAGTAATTTGCATATGAAGGAACTAACTTATGCAACGAAGTCTCATAAGAAGTAGCCAGACAAAGTGCAGTTTATACTTTGTTTGCTGTAGCAACTCCATTGGTAGCTGAGCTTCAGATTTCATGAGTAGAAATTTCAGTGTTATCTTTAATAGATCTGTTTTTCAAGAAACTGAAGCTGGTGTACAAGCATGTCTGGGAAGGGGGCAGTAGGAGGTCTTTTGACTCACTGACTAAAAAAACTGAGCATATCTAAGATTAGAATTTCTGTTAAATTTCACCAGATTTGTAAATATCCAAAAATGGATACAACCTGATGAAATGATGACAGTGTAGAAAGCAGTGGTACACTCTTAAACATCGACTTTAAATGGACAGTAATTCTCGTTCGAATCCTGCCACGATTTAGATTTTCATTTCACCTTCAGTCCTCTATAATCTAGTACCAATACTAATCTACCAAATCACAACTGTCTGAAATAGTCAAACTGACAATCGGTATGATATCCTCCCTCGATAGTTCAGCTGGATTTGGATTTGGATGAGCAGTCCTGGTTGGGCAGTCAGTGTGAATGTGATGAACGGTTAGTTAAGCATCAAGAACTCACATAGCACTTTGGTCAAACCCTTAACAATTGAAGTAAAATTAAGATCTGATCTGCAGTTGGGCCTGGCAGCCCAGTTGGTACATCACTGTGCTGGTAAGCCGGTGGTGGTTGGCTGAAAACCTGCTTTGACCTTGATTTTCAGTTCATCTTCACGTCACATTTACGAAACCACGACTTTCTCAGATAGTCAGTATGATAATTCCTTCTTCCTATCTCATGGTAGTATTCATCACAGACTGACATTAGCCGATTCGTTCTAGCATGAAACTCCTCAGCAGGACGCTGCCACAACCTCAACAAGGATTGAAGTGAAGACCTTCAGGTATTGCGGCAAGTGCGTTGACCATTCAGCCATTAAATCAAATTTCCATTGTTCACAGTTTCCTACTTCTTTCAGTTTGCATTATACGTTTTCAATGGTTCCACAACTGACGCCAGTTCATGAGGAACACTAGCATGTAAATCATTTTCACCTCTTAGTTTCCTATGGGGTCATTTAACTGGATTTTTTAAAACCCATGGTTTTACATAGATGAATGCTACTTGAATTCAGTTACAAAGTAGGTGTTTAAGTCCCCTGAACTAACTGTTCGTATTGCAAACTTGTTCAATAAACTTTTTTGATCACTTATGATATGACAGTCAAATCACCTGTCTCTGATGACCATTTTGTTTTCATAACCCAGCTATGTAGAGGTCAATTTTGGGCTTACTAGTTTCGATTTCAGCACTTAGCTTACAACGTCTATATTTCCTTCATAACATGTGTTTACTGAAGGATGCAAATTCATCTTATAATGATTTTGGTGACTGGCAGAGGAATCCAGGACGCTCGTTTTGTCCCATTTGGGACCCGTCAGCTGAATGTACCTCCATCCCAGAGAGTGGTCATTCCCACCGAGGCTGGAACACAGTATCCTTCACTTCAAACACCGAACGCGTTATCCACTAAGCGACTGGAGCACGACAGACACCTCTTATGCAACAGGTGTCAGTTGTTGCAATGACACTTGTAATTTCCCGTTGCTATACAGGGTCATCATTACAGCAAATTCACCTTGTTGACGATTGTTTGACGCAAGATATTAGTGAAACATACTTCTTACCGATTAACGCTGAAGGCATAATTGTGTACAGAAACATTTTGGGAGTAAAGGGTCAGTTAAGGACCTCCGTGTAATACACGAGAGTATCGCTTAGTTTGTTATACTACTGACTAGTATCTGGGCTTTGGAACATTTACTTCAGTAACTGACTTTGAACTAGTGAGTAACGGGTTTACACTGCTATCTCCTTTCCAAAGTCTTAGCAACTGTTTTGTGTATAGGATTATCTGGCATCAGAAACCTTTACGTGGCTTCTTTAGCTGTAGTAATAACATTGTAAAACCGGTGAAACAGGCTACTGAGCAATATAATGAGTAGTTAGACACAACCTACATCCAGGTAGCTATGTAAATAATACAACAGGATCATCCCATTTCTTTGTGGATAGACTCAAGAGTGATACATCTGAAGGAGTTCTTTTCAGACCGCCAAACTAATGATGTTGTAATGTAATAGGAATAATGTTACATTTTGTCATTTGCATACTGAAGTTAACGATACAGAGAAGTCAACTTATGTCGAATACATGACATTTATTATAAGTGAAATGCGTTGAATTGTTTGTTCTCACAAACAGTCCAAAGCAAAAGCATTTATGTGGCGGAAAGCAGTCAGATGCGCCTTATGTTGAGCAACAGTTTGAATTCACAAAGCCTTTCACAGCATCGTTGACTAAGGTATATTTAATTCTTTAAGGAAGCAGGAGTTTCGTTGGGGGAAGGGACAGCGATTTAAGCCAACCAAGACTTATTGTCTCTAACAGTACACTGCATTATAGTTCCAATACCTACTTAAACATAGGAGATTTAGCCAAACGCTTGGTAAGTAGAAAAGTTGGCTTTTATCCAGACTTGAGATTCAAGAAATTGGAAACCATAAAATGGTTCTAGCTCATAGTTTGTCTCTTAACAAGCTATTCCACCTGACATTGGTAAAGTTGAATGTGATAACCAACCGTTTTAACTGTAACAAATTCTTTAGGCAGTTGTATTCACTAATTTTCTCTCCCTTTTTCATTTTGCTTTCTTATTATTAGACGGTTTTCCTTAAATCGTGAGAAAAACGAAACAAATTGCTTATCTACTGGCAGTAATACCAGTAGTGGTATGAGTAGTGGATATTATAGTGGCCTGTCAACCAGTGACAATTCTGTTGATCCTAGTCGGCGTAACAGTAATACTTCATATCAGTCATTGATGTTGGGAAGGACGGCAACGGGGCAACCAACAACATTTATAGCAGGGACAACAACAAAAGAAGAAGAAGAAGAGGAAGAAGTGGTGATGAAATTGCACGAGGACAATTCTATACCATGGATGATGCCTACTAGTCAATCATTGCCTAGAGCATTGACAAAAGGATCAGGCACCAGTTCATCGACAAAATCATCAGGTATTTCTATCTCACTTCCACTTTTTTAGTAGTTACAACTGTAATATAGAAAACGACAAAACGGAGACGAAGGAAGAAGTGTTGATTATTAACATCTTGTACAGTAGTCATCAAATATTGTACACATTCCACTAAGACAGTCATTTGCACAGTATGCTTCATTTTCTCTTCTGCTTCTATCTCAACTTACTCTTAATACGCCTACATTCTCTTGCGTTTCTCTTAGCATAATGTTTACCCATTGTTGGTAATTACCTATGATTTCTGTCACCCTCTGAACATATACTACTTATATGCATTGTGATCAGCAACGCCCACTACAGTAAGAGGGTTGGAATGTCAGTGTAATGCCTCCTATGACGAAAGGATGAGTGGCTAATGTTAAAGTGATAGAATATTCACTAAATTCATTCAATCGTATGATTAGTTTGATATGATTATGAGCAAAAAGTTATGCTAGAGACGTAATCCAGTAGACAATACTATATCTCTACTAAGTGAATTACAAAATCCCATTGTTATCCACACTGCTACCTTACTAAACTACTAGACATTTTCACAGCAACTTCCCGTAAAGCTTGACTTCCGGTTTTTTCAACATAAATGTATCATACAGAGAATGATAGTTTGATGATGATGATGATTGTAATAGAAAGTGCTCATGCGATGAAAATGAAAGTCAGACAAAGCATGATGTTTCAGGGTTGATGAAACTGTGTGATATAACGTCTTGGGTCGGCCTACTGGTATTTAGGCATTGCGGCGTTGATTTAAAGTAAAACGGTAACCTGGGTAACAGTAGGATTGTAAGTCCGATCGATAGCTGCTACCTTGATATGGTGGTCGGCCTTGTATATCACGACGACCCAACGATACTTATGGAACTCGAGGTCCTGCAATACCAGAAAGATCTGTTGGATAGTGTTTAGACAAAAGCAGTTAACCGTAACATGCTCCTAAACAATGACGTGGTGGATTGTGGTGGCTTAGATCCCTCATCAGTGGTTAGTGATAGTTCAAAACCACAGGACGTATGTCCAAGTTCACCTCCCATCCTACAGGTACGTTGTCGTGGCACCAAAAAGGCTGTACTTGACTAGCCTCAAGCACATGTGGTCACAAAAGTCTTTTTTTCTTTCAGGTACATTAAAAAAATAGCCTTCCACGGTGTGGGCAGCCGGAAAGCATCAACCACCCACACTCTTCCAGTAATACACGAGACCCAATCAAACATAACGTATCCTTCTCAACTCTGTGTCCTCCTTTGGCTTCGCCTTCTGATACTAATATTACACCTCTTACGTCTTACTAAACCTCTAACTCTTCAACCATTTCCCATGATCAAAGCCACCGATTTTATGTAGAAGCTTTCAACCTCCGAACTCCATGCCAATCGGACAGCAAGCATCGCTTGACAAAGCTCTGGAATCTTTAATTATGAATGTATGTTGTGTCTCAGAGACACTTATACACCACCCGAGTGCAGTTAATAAGTTGATCTCATTTGACCATAGTAGTGACTCTTCAAAACTTACTTTCAGAGTATCCGGATTCGCAATTTTCAGCTCTAGTGGACTTGCTGGAGTAGGCATAACATTGAGTCGTAGAACAGAAAGTACGTTCCTTAAGTAGCTTCCGGTAAACAGCTGTTTATATTCTGTTCAACTGAATAGATCTGTAAGGACTAGGAAGAATCATGAGATTGAGCAATACTTATTCGTAATCTCCGCCCACACATCCGCCGACTGCAGTTCGGATGATGCAAAGGATGAATTCTATGAAAAGCTGTAAATTTTGTTGCAGAAAGCGAAACATTCGGATGTAGTTATGGTGTCAGGTGACTGAAAGCCTCAAGTAGGGAAGCTGATTCAGTCGTAAAGGCATCTTAGGGGTATTCATGAAATGCCATGCCAACGAACCGATAACGGTTGTCGCACTTTGCAATTTGTTCTGACACTTACTTGTTTCTGACCAGCGCTAACTTTAAGCATAAGAAGAGACACTATCTCACATGGCGTCAGCCGACTTTAAACCAACGGTGGACAAATAGATTATATTGCTATGAACCATCGTTGGAGAGGATCGGTGGAGGATCGCCGCTCTTTCTGGAGAACCAGTTTGGACTCTGATCACGCGCTAGTACGGGCTCGTGTATGCGTACGCCTTACTGGTCGTAGGAAGCAAGCGCTAGTAAAGCATGTCTATGGTCGATGGGAAAATGAAAGCGTCAAGTCTGCATTCAGGGAAGAAATAGCCGAGCATCTATCAGAACATGACAACAGTGCTCACCCAGAAGAAACCGGGCATGACATTAGGTCTGCTGCAGAAACAGAGGTAAAGACAATTTTTAACCTGCACTCGAAGGTTAACAAACGTCACTAGGTTTCCGCAATGCACAGTTCAACTGGTCCTCAGCAACACTTCAGTTGCCCAACATGTAGCCCGAACCTGAATGAGACGTGGATTTCGGTCCTCTAATTCTCCCTGAAGTTAAGAAGACTGTGCCGAACCTGGAATGATGCAGAGCAGCAGGACCTGACAGTCTGCCACCTGAAGTCATCATGGATGGGGGTAGGAAATCGCTCATTAGAATGACAGAGGTACTAGGTAGTGTGTGGGAATTAGAGGTAGTTCCGTCAGACTGGTCTAGTTCACTGATCATCCCAGTTTATAAGAAGGTAGAGAAGTCTTCTCGTGACAAAAAAGGAACCGATTTGACTAATATTGCGTCCAAGACCCCAGGGTCCATTGTTATCCGACATCTAACTGGATCTCGTGAACAGCAAAATCGAGAAAACCTGACTGGCAGGCATCAGACCTTATCGAGGGTGCATCGATCATATTTTCATCTTACGACGGGTTCTGGAACACAGGCATATATACCGGCCAACAGCCAACACTATCCATATTTGTTGACGTGGTGTTGCATTTAACTCTGTCGACCGTGAGATGTTAAGGCGGTATCTAACTGTGAAGGAAGAGTACCGAGTAAGTATATGACGCTTATCAAAGTCCTCCACTGGATCTCACACAGTCGTATCAGAGCTTATGGTGAGTTGTCAAGTAAGTTGATAACAACTAGTGGTGTCCGGGAGAGACTTCCACTGTCACTGTTCTTACTTAGCTTCGTCATAGACGTACTAATGGACATAACCATATGTATGTCTGACTTCATAGGAATCGACCTACTCCCTGGAAGCACTGTATTTGACTTGAAATATGCAGAAAATTTTTTCCCGCTAGGTGAAGACGCTAAACGTGTCGAGCAGAAGTCTGAATATACTTGGCACGATTTTCGCTGACACTTGTGAAGTGTAGAATGATGCTCCAGAACTGGTCTGAAAGCACTACCAGTTTATTAGTAAAGACTTAAGTGGTGGAATGTGTCAACCACTTCATTTACTTGGGGAGTCGCATCAGCCCAAACGAGATGGTTGCTGACTGAATCTCTGCTCGGATACAGAAGGTCTGTTTAACATTCCCTAGCTTACGTCATTCGTGGCGTTGGCGAGATATTCGGCTACCTATCATAGGGCGAGTGTACTGCGCCACAGTCCGTTCTGTCCTGTTGTACGGTCGTTAAAAGTAGACGGCATGAAGCGGTTGCAGGGTTTTGATCATAGATGTTTTTGTAGCATTACTCACGTGCGATGGAACCACCGTGTGAGCAATGTGGAGGTCAGGTGAAAGGTTGTAGGCAAGACAGGCAAGTTGACTGATGTGGCTGTGAACCTCAATCGAGTGAGTTGGTTTGGATATTTACTGTGCCATGTCAAGTCACTGCCTACTTCGCAGTGCCATGCTACGGGAGTTTGGGTGTAGATGGAAGAGCGTTTATTGTGGGCAGACCAAGACGTGGCACCACACGCTGAAGTCTCTGACTGCTGGGTTGAACTGTCTGGGGAGATTAGGGTCCCAAGACGAAAGAAATCAGTGGTTGAAAACTATTAATGACGTGTCTGAAAGTCAGTCACAATGGCGCAGATGTATTGGCCCCCTGACATCTTCTAAAGCTTAAATATTCGCACTAACCTTTATCTTCGAATTGTATATGTATATGTATATGTAATGACTAATTGAAGAAGCCGTTATTAATTTTTATTAACTGTTCAATTTTCATTCTGGTTTACTTAAATTTTCTGTTTATGCAGTGGAAACTTCTGGAATGAATGATATTCTTCAACATCCTACTGATGTAACAGCATGTATGCCAGCAGCGCCAATTGGAGTGTCATCAACAAGGAGGACTTATTCAACAATCGATTTTGAAGAGATTTTTGATACAAGTTTAGATGTAACTGTCAACAATACTACTAGTAGCCACAATAATAGTATTGGTAGTAGTAACAACATAAGTACACATACAAACAGTAATAATATGAATCGATCAATTTCAGCTATTGGCAGCCGACGTCATCATTCTACATCTTCAGCTTTAGGCAATACAAACGCTAATAATACTATTACGCTTATTAACAACAATACTAATAATAATAGTACTAGTAGTGGTGGTATTAATAATAACAATTTTAAATCAAATTCTGCATGGTCAACTGAATCAGTCAATCGTCCAAGAATTACTCATTGGCATAATAACAATAACAATAACGAGACTAAAAGTAGAAAAGCCGTCAATACCAAAGGAAATATCTTTCTACAAAGAAGTGATTTCAGTGTATTCACAGTAAGTTGATGGATATCCTTCCCTCTTTTTTATGGGAAATCGGAGATTGATAAGTAACAAGGTCTTGACTTGTCAGCAACATTAGTCAGTGTTAAATGAGAAATCCTTCTACGTTGTCGTCTACATCAGACGAATAATGACATGAATAGCATAGTCGCACAGCTTCTGCTTCCAACAGTCACTATTGCAGGTCCCAATGTTCAAAAGTGCAAGGCCTCATTCAAGGTTTCAGTTATATCACACTCATGAGTACCAAAGGCAACCACAAAAACTAGGCAAGGCAGGGAATAATATCAGTTTAATCGAAAATTATGAACTAGTTATCCGGGCTTAGTATTCACCAGAACTACAACTTCAGAAAAACGCATATTCCAAACAATCCCGAAATGGAAGTCTCTTCAAACAGTCCAGTCGAAAACAGTCTATTATCACTATGTGCCCCTATCATCCTAGTGGAACATAAGGAATCTGTACCATGTCGCCATATCACTATCTTCTCTCCAGTCCATTCAACCTGGCTCCACCACTGACCACAAGATTTCATTTCTTACTAACAACATCTCCTCCATGACACCCTCACCTCGCAAGCCCAAATCATCGATCCCCATTTGAGTTCCACTAGACGACCTGACCTGACACATGAAGTCCAATCCAATAAAACCCATCCCTACATTCCTCCTCTACATATTAGTTGGGCGATGGGTTGTCGGTTGGTTGGTTGGTTGATTCGTTTCCAGCCAGCCAGCCAGCCAGCCAGCCAGCCAGCCAGCCAGCCAGCCAGCCCCAGCCAGCCAGCCAGCCAGCCAGCCAGCCAGCCAGCCAGCCAGCCAGCCCCCCCCCCCCCCCCCAGCCAGCCAGCCAGCCAGCAACGCGCCAAGTCTCTCAACCATCACACTGAAACACTGACTAACTTGACTGAATTGAATTAGTGTTGAGAATCCGGATGTTGTTCACACTTTATGCTGAGTGCAGTGCAGTGCAGCGTAGTAGATCTCCACACTGATTAGTTCAGATTGATGTAGGCAGGCGTGTCTTGGTGTCTTTCCGATCGTGGCTGGCTGTGATATCCTCATCTGTGACTGTGCCATCGACTATAGTTGACACGATGATGCCTACCTAGGTATGTGGGTAGGTAGATAGGTAGGTAGGTAGATGAAAGAGACAACTTCATGTAGATTTCTCCTGTTGGCGATAGTGATTGGTGCTTGTTGTTGTTGACGTCGTTGGTTGGTTGGGTATCTTCATCACCTCTCTCTTCTCTACGTCCACTCATCTGTAGGAAGTCGTGTCTTCCTTCGCTGCAACGCCACGTCACGCCACACTTCACATCACATCACATCACCTCACCTCTTCTGCCAAATTGCTAGTTTTCGCCTATAGATGCTCGAATTTGTGCGACAAGACAATAGACATGAATCATGATGATGTGGAAATGCAAATCTTCTTGTGGTGGTCTGGTGGTCGTCGGTCCAGCCACCAGATGCCCAGCTCCCCACAACTCCTCACAGTTGTCTGTTACATGATCCAGTCGAGTCGAGTCGAGTCGACCACAATCACGAAGATGATCGGTGATAGTAGGCGGCAACCTTGTCTCACTCATATCTCCTGTCTCCACTTCAATGGCATCACTGAGCTTTCCATTGTGAATCACTTGGCATGTAGCATCGTATAACATATAGTTGTTGAATGAGTTTGATGCAGGTTTTTGGTACTGAAACCTTAGTGTTGAAGCATCTGGGCGCCAAATTACTTGTCGGTCGACGCCTCAATCGGAGGCCTTTTCAAAGTGGATGAAGTTGAGTTCGAGTTGATTTGACTGTCATTCTGTGTTCTGTTCTATGATGATGCATAGCGTAGGTCAGTTACTCAGGGTGAAATATTTCTATTAACAGTAACATGGCGATTTATAAATGGTAACCAATAGGATTGCTTTGCTGAAAGTCGCAGTACTGAACAGGGAAAACCGATATGAATATCATGTATAATCCACTAATGACTTGGTCAGATATCACATATTGGTTCATGTATGCGTCGTATGTCATAGTCACAAATCATCACAATGCTGTTCGTCTTCAAAGTTCATGGAGAACTGATTTTGCGAGCGAAGTTTCCATCTTGAATTAATCAACACCTGTTGGAGAAGTAATGATAACTTGGTCAGCAATGATTAACATTTGTTCCGTACCAGTTCCTAGACATCAGGAGGTTTAAACAAGAACCAACTCCAACCATTTCATGGTATAACAGCATCACCATCTTTCTCACTGATAGGTATTCATCTTACCGGCCACTATATTTGACTTCTTCCCTCAAACGTCTCATTGGAAGTTTAAGAAAGTCATCTTGGCAATTGAATCACTGATACTGAGTTGAATAATTTGACAGTGATTTCCATGAGAAACTGTTAAACAACCAGGATTACAAGACTGTTTTCGAAACTTGATTTTGTACAGTTTCTGATGACTGATATCACTAGCAAAACAAGGGTGAAGGGATTTGTACTAATAACTTTGAACTCTCCACTAACTGAGAATATTACACTGAGAGATTGAGTCTATTAGTATATCAACCTACTGCAAACTTAATTATTAGGATTTAATCGGTAATGGCCAGTCACCGTGATATCATATATCTTACATTTTCTTACCTTAATGTAGATCTCAGAATTACTTCGATATAAATAAACAAAAATTTATAAATTGTAGTTTTATACAGCATTATTAAGTGTTCTCAAAAATTTTATCTTTTATATCCTAAATTATGTGAAAGAAAATTTATATTTCACTTTCCGACAAAAGATATTTACCTGAACCAATGAACTTGTTGATAACTTGTGTGAAATGATAGACCTTGGAAATAACGCATTACTCATGAATGCCTGTATACTTATAACGGTACAGACTGATGAAGTTGATTCGATCGTTTTCTAGAAGAGGTTTTCAAGTATTGGATTTTCAGTCGAATCTCCTGCTCGATACGATCCCAAGATGTGCTTAAGTTCAGTTGAATCTCATGATCGCATCCAACCGATGTTTACAAATAGATCAGATGGACGATAATAAGCAGTTCATCGGAGTATAACATTATGTCAAATAACCAGGTTACTATCTGGGAAGAGATCAGTATAGATGAAACCAATGAAAGATAGTGAGGGAAACCTAGTTAAAAAGAGAGGAGAAGCAAAGGAAACGGTGGGCTGACCACTTCAAAACAAAACACTTGAATCGACCACCAACACCACCTGCAAGCTGTCAAGAAATACTGCCAGCAGCCACAGAACTATCAGTGAACACAAGCCCTCCGACAAAGGCAGAATTGAAGTCCTGAAATCCGAGAAAGCAGCACGACCAGATAGAATACTTCCAGAAACACTGAAGACAGACGCAGAGACTACAGTGGACATGCTCACACCACTACTGCAGAAGGTTTGGAAGGAAAGAAGGGAAGGTACCTGAAGATTGATTAGAAGAAGGTGTACCTTGTCAAACTTCCAAAGAAGGGTGGCCTAAGTTTTTGGAAGAACAAGAACTGGCGTGGAATCATGCTCCTGTACACACTAAGCAAAATATTATGCCGCATCATCCTGAACAGACTGGAAAATGCTCTGCATTCAAAACTACGACCGAAATAGGCTAGTTAGCTGGCCTCAGGAAGAAGAAATCATGTGCGCATCAAACTGAAACGCTACACTAAGCATCATCATAGAACAGAACACAGAATGACAGTCAAATCAACTCGAACTCAACTTCATCCACTTTGAAAAGGCCTCCGATTGAGGCGTCGACCGACAAGTAATTTGGCGCCCAGATGCTTCAACACTAAGGTTTCAGTACCAAAAACCTGCATCAAACTCATTCAACAACTATATGTTATACGATGCTACATGCCAAGTGATTCACAATGGAAAGCTCAGTGATGCCATTGAAGTGGAGACAGGAGATATGAGTGAGACAAGGTTGCCGCCTACTATCACCGATCATCTTCGTGATTGTGGTCGACTCGACTCGACTCGACTGGATCATGTAACAGACAACTGTGAGGAGTTGTGGGGAGCTGGGCATCTGGTGGCTGGACCGACGACCACCAGACCACCACAAGAAGATTTGCATTTCCACATCATCATGATTCATGTCTATTGTCTTGTCGCACAAATTCGAGCATCTATAGGCGAAAACTAGCAATTTGGCAGAAGAGGTGAGGTGATGTGATGTGATGTGAAGTGTGGCGTGACGTGGCGTTGCAGCGAAGGAAGACACGACTTCCTACAGATGAGTGGACGTAGAGAAGAGAGAGGTGATGAAGATACCCAACCAACCAACGACGTCAACAACAACAAGCACCAATCACTATCGCCAACAGGAGAAATCTACATGAAGTTGTCTCTTTCATCTACCTACCTACCTATCTACCTACCCACATACCTAGGTAGGCATCATCGTGTCAACTATAGTCGATGGCACAGTCACAGATGAGGATATCACAGCCAGCCACGATCGGAAAGACACCAAGACACGCCTGCCTACATCAATCTGAACTAATCAGTGTGGAGATCTACTACGCTGCACTGCACTGCACTCAGCATAAAGTGTGAACAACATCCGGATTCTCAACACTAATTCAATTCAGTCAAGTTAGTCAGTGTTTCAGTGTGATGGTTGAGAGACTTGGTGCGTTGCGAAAGGCATTTCCAATAAACTGCATCATACATACATCACGTCAACATCTGCCGCCTACACTCACTCGATCGTGATGCTGGAGATCAGATGGATGACCAGAATAATAAGAATAAGCAAGACGGAACTCTGGCTGGCTGGCTGGAAGCGAATCAACCAACCAACCGACAACCTATCGCCCAACTGATATGTAGAGGAAGAATGTAGGGATGGGTTTAATTGGAATGGACTTCATATGTCAGGTCAGGACCGTGTAGTGGAACCGAAATGGGGATCGATGATTTGGGCTTGCGAGGTGAGGGTGTCATGGAGGAGATGTTGTTAGTAAGAAATGAAATCTTGTGGTCAGTGGTGGAGTCAGGTTGAATGGACTGGAGAGAAGATAGTTATATGGCGACATTATGCAGAATCTTTTATTCCCCTGGGAGCGGAAATGCGGATAATGATAATAATAATCGTACTATTCAACTAGATAGGGGTAGTGTTTCATATACTCCTGCAGCTTTGTGGCTGTTGTTTTTCCTCTGTATTGTAGCATATGTCACAATTTTGGTGTGGTATGCACCCGTCCCCTTTTTATTATGTTCGCTTTGTGACAGTTAGTCAGATACGTCTTTAGTATCATAGAAAGCATAGACTGATGTTTCTTAATTGAACTCTCTTCTTCCAAGTATAGGTCTCATCAGCCATTAGGACCATCATTGTAATAAGTATTTTTCTTTCCCAATACTTTGAATATATTTCTCATTGAATTGCTTTTCCTATTTAATTACAGAAATTACCAAACTACAAACAGAATGCTTATTTCATTCAAATGGATGATGATAGTTGTACAGGGAATGAAGATACGCGTGCATTTCTTTTAGCTCAGTTAACAAATCATCGTGTTTCTGAAGTCTATTGTCTTGCCTGTCAACAGATACTACCGATCTATGATCATTTTCCAGTTATTGATGGTATATTTTTCATTAGTCCCTTGTGTCATCGTTCGACTGAAGGTTATCGAAAGGGTGGTGGTCTACGCGTGACTTGGCATACAAACGGAATACAAAATCAATCAGTCCAACAACAACAGCAGCAGCAGCAACACCAGCCGCAACAGCAACAACAAACCAACCGTACATGCACTACAAACAACAATAGTAACAGTAGTAGTAATATTGGTAATAATGGTAGTACTAATTTAGTTTCATCAACGAATGACTATCAGTGTATCAATAAGATTGCATTGAAACTTTTAGCTCCACTAAAGATTATGTCACCGCCACCTGGTTGTCTTGGTCCTAGACAACAGTTGAATTCGGCTCAACATAATAACATGATGAGTACATTAACATCGGATCAAAATAGTCTATTTTCAGCATCAACATCATCATCTCGATATTCTGTAGTTGGTACATCGACTAGACAAGGACGTTATCTACATGCACTGTGTATGAACTGTATGCATACAGAACATCTAGTTGTGAATACACATGACAGTAAGCGTAATGGCAGTGATAATAATAGTAATAATAACGATAATAATAATAATAATAATAATAATAATAATAATAATAAATCCAGTGAATTCAAGTGCATCAGATGTAAGGTGTGCAGTAAACTTTGGTCTGGTAAGTTGATTAACTTTTTGAAGTAATCATTATCATTATTTGTCCTTTGGGTTCCTGGTGGAACATAGGGATTCTGTAGCACGTCACCGCTTCTCTCTCTTCTCTTCAGTCTATTCAACCTGGCTCTACTACTGCCCGCAAGCTTTCATTTCTTCCTCACACATCCCAGACACACACATACACACACTTCCAAAATCTTCATTTATAATCCATCTGTTGAAGTTTAGCTTTGTCGATAGAGCTGCCATTTTAATATGTTGAAATTCAAATGAGAAATATCATATTGGTAGGTGAGTTACATCAAGGAAAGCTTAATTACGATCTAGGCTTTTCCATAATTGTTTAAGACATCGAACAGTCAGTCAGTTGGCTAGGGGGTTTAAAGGTGCATTCACCTACGCAACTATATGCAGCCTGGTAGTTGTTATGGCTTAGTCATAACTCAAAGCCTAGTCTACGAACTAGAATGTGGTTGTTGAGACTTAAGACATTTTGTCATTCATATCTTGATAAGAGATGGTAGTGTGTTAAATTGCGAGATATTGTTATAAATGTGAGGTCAAGCACATAGATCAATCGAGCCGAACGGGGTTAAGTCAGACTAATAGAACACAGAAAATTAGCTAAATATGGATTCTTAAGCCCGACTAAGATGCGTAATCTAGCGAAGAATTCCATCATAACTGTTCATATAGTTAAGGTTTTGAAGGTTAATACAGTTGATTGGAGACAGAGTTTGGTCTTGATGGCTGACGCGAAGGTTTCTTCCGTCTCTGGGTGTTGAACTTGAACTGTAGTCTATCACCAACTTCCTTGAAGGCTTTCAACTTGATTTTGAGAGTAGGTTCCTTGCACTGAGCTTACATATGCTCTCCTTCTTGACCTAGTGTCAAGTAGGCTGACTGCGTCTCCACTTTCTTCACATTGAGATAAAGTCGATCTGATTTTTAGTATGTCCTGGTGTCTGGTGAAATCCATGTCGCTCGCTTTGTGGATATCCTTGTGCTTGAACATAGTGCCTGACTCCAATCACCAAATCGTTGAATGCACAGAATTCTGCAAACAATTCTCCATTCTCGTTCATCACCTCATCTAGCGCTTCTCGGCACATGGTTAGTTCTCTTCCTGTATTGTCTGCTCCCAGTTTGGCATTCATGTATCCCAGTAGAATGAATTTTGATATCGCCAACTGAGGCGGTGTCTCGTCCAGTGTTGATTGAAGTTATCTGTATAATTCCTCCTTTTTCTCTTGCTCTGCATAATTTGTAGGTGCGTAGCGGTGTATGATTGTGACTTCCTTCCTTTTGAGTTGAACCTTGCTGTTGTGATCCTGATTGTGGATGAGATTGGTTGCCAGTGCATGAGAGCCTTCGATGCTGTTGGGGACATCATGATAGCCACCCCATACTCAGTGTGCTCGTGGTTGTCATCTGGGTGACAATATCGGAGTAGATTATTGATTCTCCAGTTGACAGTTTGGAGAGTCCACTTCCATTCCACCTGCTTTCGCAAATTCCTAGCACTTCAATACTATACCTTCTCATCTCCTCTGCAATCTGGGCATGCTTGGTAGGTTCATACATAGTGCGGACATTCCATGTCCCCACGTTTACCTTCTCTTTCATCGAGAGAGAGAGAGAGAGAGAAGACACATCGACGTATTAGCTTCCCGAAGGCTTTCACCAACTGGCGCCATTTCGTCTCTCCGATTCCAGAGCGAAATAATTTTGTTTTTGTTGTTTATATTTTGTTTGTGCTTTGAAGTTTCTGTAGCAGTTGGATTGGTTTTGCGGTTTTACGTACAACCTTCCCTCTTTACCCGGGCTTAGGACTGGCTAGTAACTAGTGAACTAGTTAAGCAAGCGATCTTAGTGAACAATACTATATCACTATATACTATATCAAATAGATTAACCAAATATAGTGCTTAAAGGTGTTAAGAAGGTTCCTACTTTACACCTCGCCATAACTTGTCGTCTTTACTTCTAGTTTTTAGTTATTTATGTTATTCTTAGTACTACTACTACTGTCAAAGATTCCGGTACTTCTGCTCTCCACTTTGTGACCTCTTACATTTGTTAAAAAAACATTACTGTGAAAATGGATACTAAATCTTCCCTCAGAGATATATACTACTAATTCAGTAAATATCAGTATAACACTTGGCATTATTGCATAACGGTCTAATTCGACCCATAACAGATATTCAGCTGCATAGATGGTCTAATTTGGTGAAAGTCAAGAGAGCCTTTTGAAACCATGCAGAGATTTGATCTCACAGTCACTCATCAAGGCTGATCCAACGTTTCAAGTTAGTAAAGTGTTCAGTTCGCTGAACGAGTTGCCAACTTAAGCCAGTTCTAGAGTCATAATTTGTAGTTAGACGAGGAAAGATGGATCCTAAGCATTGTCATTTTGCTACTCAAGGTGTTCAGAAGACTTCGTACCTTGTCAGCATATTCATCTAAGACAGCTATTTCATTTGCATACTCTAAGTAATAATAAGTGAATAAAGCTCCCGACCTATAGTGACTGAGGTCTTATGAGCATGTATTACTCATGTTAAGTCACCGCCTTTCCAGATACACAGATTCAACTGAAATGGGTAATTGTAGTCTCTTTATTTTGGGTTTTTGAGCCAGAAACTTTAGGTGATTTGACATAGGAATGGTTACGTTGGTTCAGATTCATCTAAGACCAACCTTGAAAGTCTATTATTAAATATCTTCGCTCTGTCAGCTAACTTCTGTCTCTATTACTATACATCTATCTGAAGAACTTTTCATTCCCTTAGCTTCATTTCTTATTTTCCCGCCTCCCTTTGACCTCAACTCAATGGGGTAATTTGAAGTTTAGAAACGTCAACCAACCGCCGAATATCCTCAAATATATTATTGTTTCCATCTGTTTAAAGAAAGTGATGCTCCTTTGTAAACAACAGGAGCTGAGAAATACAAGTAGATTGGTTAACACAATATCAGGAGATCAGTTTCCACATAAAAGTGGAAACAGTAGAGTAATGAGCGTTGAGGTTATGCGTAGGTATTCAGGAGATGAAACTTAAGTCAGTCAATATGGTTTTCAGCCTATAGCAATCGTAGCTTCTTTTATGGCTAACACCTAATTTTCCAAACTTAGAATATTCTTGCAACCGGTTCCATCTTTGACAGCGATGATGGATAGTGGCTAGCAGTGGAATCCAGGGTATACGTTGCGACCTATTTAGGATTCGTCGACCAGGTATATCTACCTCTCAGTGAATGATGTTTTCCTCACCAGGAGTCGAACTCGGAAGCGACCGCTTCAAAACGCCAGAGCATTACTGACTGAGTCATCATAATTACTTTATCTTTTCCACTGTTTTATCAACATCTGTTTACCTACCTTGCCATGTGTTCATTATTTCTGTTCTACATTTTGCAATCAAGACATTAGAGAAGTAACTAGACGAAAAATTTCTACCTGTCTACAAAACTATTCAGGTCAACTTAAGGTTATGGAACCTTTTATAGTCTGGAATTCTTTTCTTCTTTGCCTGTCTGACCTTTATAAAACTAACATTGATGAATCACCACTATTTATTGACATACTTATTATTCTCCACTGTTTTCTTGGATCGAATTGTTCAACCTCTATTATCATATGAGCTTCTATGCGGATGCCTTGATATTGCCTGAATGTTAATTATGATAATTTGGTTGGTTGTGGCTAGCAGAAGAATCTAAGATGCGCGTCTCGCCTTATTTTGAACTCGTCAGCTGGATGTACCTGCACCTCAATGAGTGTTTTTTCCCGCCGAAACTTGAACCTCCTACGCATCGCTCCAAACACCAATGCGTTATCCACTATGCTACGGAGGAAAGACAGCCACTTCTTGTACAAGGGGTTATTACTATTTATTGACATACTTGTTATTCTCCATTGTTTTGTTGGATCGAATTGTTCGAGTCATTTGTCATTTATAATGTAATTATAGTTTTTATTTGAATAACACAGAGACGTCAACGCTGAATAGACTCTGTATATTCACTCGCCGGTGTATGCGCGTGTGTGTAAGGCATTACATGATTCCAAATTGTTTACCGTAGACTATATGAGAATTGAAGATTACCGTCGTTTGGAAGATGGGAAGTCCTTTAGCTAAATAATAGAAATAGGGAAAATTTCAACACAGGTAGATATTTGCTGTAACAGTATTGTGTTGTGTGAGATGGATTGTTGAAAAGAAATCCTTGCAACACCATTCTGGATGGCATTTTCAGTCATCTAATAGTGCTGATAAAAGACACTGACAGTGTAGTTTGTGGTAGTGATTGGTATTGGCAGGCAACGGAATCCAGGAAGCACGCTTCGTTCTATTAGAGACTCGTTAGCTGGATGTGCTTTCCAGTGGGTGATTCTGTTCCCATTAAGCTTAGAACTTAGAAGAGATGGCTTCAAGTGTGATAGGTTTATCCACTAGACCGGTGAGTCATGGTGCAGGAAGTAACATATAATCTAGTTTGTAAACATGCTGAACCTACTTTGTTGACCAGTAAAATAAACAATACATCTTCATACACGAATAACAAAACTAGGAAAGGTAACCAGTTGTGTCCAAGGTTATTATAGCGAACTAATCCATGAAAGGTAGTGGTGGGATCCTTAAAGCTGACTGCTATTTTGAAACTGGCTGTGAGAATAATCCTTGTCACAATAAATGTATTGCCAACGAATACGTAGCCTTAGAGAGCTGTGAACTATAGAATTGTCCCTTATATTTCCCAAGAACGATCCTTGTAACAGCTTAGATGTGGTTATTCAGAAGTCAAAATTGGATCAATGAAAACTCGAGATTTTCAATACGAGTTATGGTTTATAGATTCGGGTAATGATTCAAATGGTTGAAATTAGAATTATAAGCTGACGATAAAGCAGAGTGGTGATTTGTTGAAGAGATAACAACATCCAAGATTTCGAAAATTATTATGGTTCAGGCAAACCAGTGTCGATCTGATGGA